GACCCTGCTTAGCTTCCGAGATCTGAAGATGAGTGGATTTCACCTGCCTTGCACTACCCTTGATAACAAAGGGCAACTAGTCTAAAGAACAGAGGCCATTATCTATCGAGCCTTCTCCCTCTCTCTTATTTACTTTGAACATTTATATGCTCGCCTCCCCGCTCAAAGGCAGTTCGCAAAGTAAAAAAATAATAACAGTCATTAAAAGCAATGATCGATAATAAAGCCAGCCATGAAGACAAGCCGGGGGTGTTAAAGCAGCACAAACGCCACCACTATTCCATCACCGCCCCTATGTACTATTGTATTACCATCATGATTGTCCGGATCCCACATTTTAGGAAGCTACCATGGAGGTTAAGATCTACCCATCTTGGTTAAACTTGTAAATCTGTATTGTAAACTTGTTACTGTATTTTATTGTAATTTATTGTTTTATATTATGTGTTTTATTGTTATAATTTTGGCACATAGTGCCCCTGTCAGCCGCCCTGAGCCTTCGGGGTAGGGCGGGATATAAATCCAAACATATATAAATTTGTTGTCATTCAGTCACACAGTCGAGTCCGACTCTTCGCAATATAAAGGGCAACTAGTCTAAAGAACAGAGGCCATTATCTATCGAGCCTTCTCCCTCTCTCTTATTTACTTTGAACATTTATATGCTCGCCTCCCCGCTCAAGGCAGTTCGCAAAGTAAAAAATATATATAACAGTCATTAAAAGCAAAGCCAGCCGTGAAGACAAGCCGGGGGTGTTAGAGCAGCACAAAACATCATTCAGCCACCTGACGTGATGCCCCTAAAATAATCCTCAAATCAGCAGGCCGCAAAACAGCTTTAAAAGACGGAGCGCCTTTACTTAAGAGCTTGTGCAGAACAAAACGTTCTGGCCTGGCGCCGAAAGGAAAGGAGGTGCCAGGTGAGCCGCAAGGGGAAGAGCATTCCACAAGCGAGGTGCCACCACTGACAAAGCCCCGTTTCTGGTCATCCATCCATCCCGCCTTCTGCAAGTGAACACACAGAGAACAAGGCTCAGGAAGCAGATCTTAACTTTCTTGCCTCTTTCTGTCCCTTCTCCCTTCTACTTCTGAAATGATAGCGGTAGAGCCACAGGGCAAGAATGTTGGAAGGGACCTCCAGAGTCATCTAGTCCAACCCCCTGCACAATGCAGACAATTCACAAATACCCCCCCAACACACACCCCCAGGGACCCCTGCTCCAGGATCACTGGCCAAACCGGCCTAAAGGACAATTGCTTCCTGGCCCCAAAGTGGTGATCAGCGTTTCCCTGGGGATGTAAGAAAGGGCCACAAGAACTAAGCACTGAGGCAACCCTGCCTGCCCCTCCCTTCTTGTGATCTGCCCAAGTTCACAGAGTCAGCATTGCTGTCACATGACCATCTTCTTTTTGTTGTTGTTCAGTCGCACAGTCGAGTCCGACTCTTCGCGACCCCATGGACCAGATCCCGCCAGACCCTCCTGTCTTCCGCCGTCCTCTGAAGTTGGCTCAATTTCTTGTTCGTTGCATCTATGACACTATCTAACCATCTCATCCTTTGCCGTCCCCGTCTTCTTTGACCTTCAATCTTTCCCAGCATCAGGGTCTTCTCCAGTGAGTGTTCCCTTCTCATTGGGTGGCCAAAGTATTGGAGCTTCAGTTTCATTATCTGGCCTTCCAGGGAACAGTCAGGGTTGATTTCTTTTAGGATTGACTGATTTGATCTTCTTGCAGTCCAAGGGACTCTCAAGAGTCTTCTCCAGCACCATAGTTCAAAAGAATCTATTCTTCGGCGCTCGGCCTTCCTTATAGTCCAACTCTCACAGCCATACATGACTACTGGGAATACCATTGCTTGGACCATGCGTATTTTTGTTGGCAGGGTGATGTCTCTACTTTTTATCATGCTGTTGAGGTTCGCCATCGCTTTCCTC